AAAAAAGGATTGACTTTCCAGCAAGAAAATTAAATTAATGAAGTAGCTTAGTTTATAGATTGTGCAAAGAATCTACTCTTATACGAATTATGAAATTTTATATTATTCTCAAAGTACGCGAGATATCAGGTTCTTCAATGGATTAAAAAGAAAAAGAAGTGAAGCCAATTGTCTATTTTACTTCATAATAGCAATATATAGCATAACTCCTTCAAAATATATATATAAGAAAATTTATTCTGTTTTATTTTATATTTTATTTTATTTTATAATTTTTTTAATAGAAACTCACTCTTACATTCCACTTTTTCTTTTAAGGGATTTAAACCTAGATCTTCTATTTTGAAAGGTAAAAAAGTGCCACTATTTTAAAAGTAAAGTTTATGTTTTGCATTACAATCATATGTTTGAGAAAATTTAGAAAACTTAACTGCAGAAGGAAAGCAGAAGGAATATATATTTTTAGCCTAGCAATTGGTTGAAGTTTGATTAGAAGTTAGAGGGTAAGTAGACGACTCCAACAGAAGCTCACACACCAACTGTAGGGCTTCCCACCAACTGGGACATAAAGCACGTCTACCATAAGGAAATTCCTAATGTAATAATGTACAATTTGGAAGGATGAGCGCGACAAGAACTTATCTTCTGATTTCAAGTTTTAAAAATCTTCTCCAGCATTCCACAATTCTAAATCAAAATAAAAATTCAAAGAAGACCTTTACAATTCTTCTTTTTTAATTTTTCTGTCTCATTTTCACTAAAAATTTAAAATTCAAAGTTAATCATAACTTGATCCTAATCCAAATACAGAGTTCCATGCATGACTACTTACCAAATTAAATATTGATCTTTGAACCCACCCCCCGTTTTCCTTTTTGTTACATTTTTTTTTTCCTTAATTTCGTTTTGAGTACAAATATGGTTGTTAAGCAGTGAACAATAAAGCGAACACTCAAGTTTTGTGCATCTAAAACATTTATGTTAATTATATGCATGTGTATATGTGTGTATATAGTGAATGTATACGCAATTAGGGTTCATTAATTGGGAAATAAGGGAATTGAGGAGTGAAAATTACCGGCGGTGGGATTGATGTTGAAGACGGCAGAGAGTGTTAGAGGACTCGTCGATAGGAGAGCAGAGGATATCAAGAAAGATCGTTTCCGGCTGCTGTTGTTGTTCGGCTCTTCAAGACCTCCATGTTGATATCCACTTTTGCGAAAGAGAAAATTAGTTGGCAATGACTTGAATTGAAAAGAAAAAGATCAATATTGGGGAAGACCATACAAGTTTTTCAGCACCAGATGTCATGTAAAGGCAGAGGGATCATCATCGTCTGAGATAGACGGAAGGAGAAGAGCTAGCTAGGGCAATCCTTCAGAAAGAGGGCAGAACAAGTTTAATATAATTGAGAGGGTTCTGCACAAGTGTCTCCCTTGTGGGCAAAATATATATATGCTAATTGACCGAAACTACGTCGTTTTAGAAGGATAGTTTTGTAAAATTACCTGGTAAGTAATCAAGGATGGTACGTTTACCGTCCCAAAAGGCCATTTTCATAATTTTTTTATTAAAAAAAATATAAATATGGCGCTAAATTTTCGCGCTAACAAATTGTAGGGGGTGGAATTTTTTTTTTTTTTTTTGGTATTTTAGGCTTTTTTGGGTAATTTGGGACAAACTGCCCCTTCCGTCCCAAATAAACTACCTTTTTGAGACAAATTTGAAACTGTCCCTAATTGTCCGTCCCTGTTGCCCAGAATTCTTGTAGTGCAATCTGCCGCTGTCATGGAAGTAGGAAGGTCCCTCACACCTTGCCTACGGAGTTCTGCCTGAGCCCATGGTTGCAATCCGGACATGAAATTGAACAGCTTGTCTTCCTCTGAAATATTTCGAATGTCCAGCATCAAGGAACTAAAGTCCTTCACATAGTCACGAACGATGCCTGTGTGCTTCAATTTCTTCAGAGATTCCCTTGCAATCCATGCAGTGTTCTGAGGCAAGAACTGGTCTTTCAATTCCTTCTTAAGGGTCTCCCAAACTTCAATCTAAGGCCTACCAGCAGAAGCATCGTCCTCTGTCCTTGTGCGCCACCATAGTTTTGCATCACCAGACAAATACATGCTTGTAATGGTCACCTTCTCGCCATCGGGGATTCGAGCAGCCTTAAAGTACTGCTCCATGTCCCATAGGAAATTCTCCAACTCTTTGGCATTTCGGGTACCACTGAAAGACTTGGGATCCGACACCTTGATCTTCTGTGAAAGAGGATCACCACCGCCTCTGGAACTCCCATGAATGGCCCTCTTCACCAAGGACACTTCATCTTCAAGGTCTTTCAGGTTCTTGAAGACGTCAGTCAATGACTCAACATCTTCAGAGATGCGGGTCAATTGCTCTTTGGTGGCCTGCATGAAGTCACCAAACCCATCAGGATCAGTCTTCAAGATCTTCACTTTAGAAGCCAAGTTTTCAATTCGAACAACAAAGCTCTCTGCACCATCTTGTACCTCTGTTTCTGTAGGAAACCCACAAACTCTTCCAAACGGGAAACTCTCTCACGAGTATTACCTTCAGCCATCCTGGAACGGGGCTCTGATACCAATTATTGCAGGGCTAAATTACCCCATGAATTTTTGCCTCTGTAATGGCACTTGGGGCCACCAAGTCTCAGCCAACACAACAACACAATACACACAGTATAGAAACGTAAAGAAGGCACACACTGTTTACAGGGACAAGCCCCAACCTTTGCTCATATTAAACATATTACAAAGGAACATAAGTTCGTACAAGGAACAACCAAGGCTCACACCCTCCTCTCTGTTCCCTCTACAAAGCCCACCTTAGCATTATATAGGCCACTCTCAAAACCGCCCATAACTGCCCACTAAGATGATGGATGACACCCCCATCCACCTAGGGTCGTGCTGGCACCCTCCAAATATGCCAGCACTATAATGCAGTTGACAAGCCCAACTGCTAGACTTGTTGGCATGTTCTGTTTATGCCACATAACTACAAGAAGTTACATTCTGCATAGTAGAAGAAACCACCCTTAACCGCCTATGTGTTGGTCCTCTCAGAATTGTGCCACATGCTTGGGAGGTTACTCAGCACTCCCCCACTTCCCATGATGAGTGGGAAGTGCTAGTAACTTCCCCCAACCGATCGAGCCCACTAAGCCACCACTTCTTGTAACCGCAAGCCATGACTTTGTGTTGTCCATGCTCTAGCCACATCTGAGTCAACCTTGTGAACCTAGCCCAAGCCAAGTCCACCAATCTGCACCCACATATATATGTCTCTGAGTGCACGGCGTGCCAAGCCATGCACGCCCGTGCGCACGCTCGGGTGCACGCCAAAGTGCACGTCGCCGCACACACTAGTGCCCTTCTACGTGCGCCATGTTTGAACCCTCATGCGCCCGTGGCTGTACGCCAGCCTGGACGCCCATGCGCACACCGAGCTAGACGCTCGCGCACACTAGGTTGGACGCCTGCCCGCGCGCCCACCTGCACGCCCGCATGCGCGCCGCTGCACACCAGCGCGCGTGTCGGTGCCCACTTGTTTGCCCTTCAATATCTTGGATGCTCCCCACTTGTGCAACCATCTTGGAGTGGTGCAACACGTGGCCATGCACGTTGGCTAAGCCCTCTAAGCAAGTCATGCCATAGCCCAACCGATGTGCTCAACAGACCCCTCCCTAGTATAGTCTTAAGGAAATCCAACACTCTGACAGGAGTAGACATCACCCATGCTTGAGGAGTCATAATGGCCTTTCAAGCCTTTCCCGACATCCAAATTAAGTGCCGTCTGCGCCAACCAGCTTCTATGGACTCAAGATACCTCCCATAAAGATCCCAAGTCAAAACTCCAAGTTTCACTTTTCGCCATATTTACGAAAGTGCCACTGGGCACCCCCAGTGCACGCCGAGCATTTTTTTAAGCATCTTGTGTGCACGCTGACAACCCACTGAGCATCCTCATGGCTGTCTAACCAAAGCCAAAGTATTCCCAAGACATGGCATGGCCTTGAAATGCCCATGTCTTCCCTTGGACAACCGTCAAGGGGCTAATAGTTTGGTATTACATTGTTTGGGTGTGAAGTTTGTGTGGCTGTGGATGCGATTGCTAAGGGAAGGTAATTATTGCCACGACTTGTACATTTATATGGATGAATCACATGAGATGAATTTTCAATGGAAAATGTTAATAATATTTTTAATTTGGTAATTAGTTATAATAATTAGAAAAATGTTAAATAATTAAAAAAATACTTAGTTGTTGTTACTGTGACTATTTGGAAGTTTATTTAAACATCTAACCATCCGGCCTAAGAAATAGGTAAAATAAAAAATTAAATTAAATTAAGTGATGAATAACATAGTGAGAAATCCATTAAATAAATGGTTTAATGTTTTAACTTAAATAGGTCTGTAACCCAATAATTAATTTATGTATTAAATGTAAATATAATGAATTTTTTTTTAGATAAATGGATGATTAAATTCATGAAATGAGAATAAATGGGACAATAGAATTACAAAAAAGGTGAAATATTTTCGAATCTATATTTAAATAATAGAAACTGACACTATTAATGCAAAACCTGACACTATTAATACAAAAGTCTAGGAGTTTCGTGTCTTGTTCACTCAAATTTGCAACAATGGCTCAGCCTTTAAATTGAATGGGGTAAAATTGATTTGACTACACCAGTTTTTAATCTGTACAAGCATATATTAAGTAACAAAAGTGACCCCACAAACAAATTAAGCCACCGTGTCGATCTAAAAGGCCACCACAAGACAATTATCAGGTGAATGGCCATGATTTACTTCTAAAACACTCAATTTTTCCCATCACCTAAAGCCTTTTGAAGGACATAATTCTATAGCATGATATCTCATATACAGAACATAGGCATTCGTTGCGGTGAAACCCAGGGATTGCTGATGAAATCTGAGTGAAGGCGACACAAAAATTCCTCTCCAATGTCATTGGCCATTTATTCCACGGTGCTGCAGCGATTCAGTTTGTCCATTGTCACGGTACTTTTTCTTGCTCTTGGTCTTGTCGTGACAGGCTTTACGGACAGCATGCTGGACCCGTTTCTCGTGTTCTTTGAGCATTTCCTCGATGTTTCCACCCAGAGGAAACAATGGTCCTGAGTAGTGGATCTGATTCTTCTTGGGAGAAAAAACCTAGTATCACAAGTCATGGCCAAAATGATGAGTATATTACTAAAAAAAAGAATGGTGCTTGAAAATTCAGAACTGGAACGTCTTTCACACACAAAGTTTGTTTCACCACAACATGAGTCTCATGAAAAATCCAGGAATTTGTCAACCATGTAGGTGTTTTCTTTTAACATTTTTTTATTATAAAAATGATAGGTTGTAAAGAAAATGATTCTTTACCTTTCCAGATGTCCGTTCATCATTCTTATGAGAAGAATTTGGTCCATCCAGTAAATGATGGGACCATTCAAGATTTTCAGATGATTCCGCACCATCCAGCTGGTTATATCTGGCATTCAGGGGCTCCTCTGGCCAGTGTGGATAGGCATTTGTCTCTCTGCTAAGACCTGACCGTGAACTACCTCGAACTGTTGCTGAATTGGAAAGCTTGGACAATTGGCCTTCTGCTCCCTGAGGTTTGAAAGATCCTTGTGGCCTCCACTCTGTACCTAGCCCCGAAGACCCAAATGCTCATTGAGAACCCATCAAGGCCTCATCTTCATTCACATTCATATATACTGCAGATTGAAGTGCACCAGGTTTAATTGATTGGCAAGAACTGGAGAAACTATTTTTTGATGTTCCTCCAGAAGGTCCAATAGGAAAGCCAGAACCGCCATCTTCTTCAGGATTGTATTTCTCACTCTTGCTTTTAGGGTGTGACTGCTCTTTTTGCTTCTGAACGTATCTAATTCACTCATTGGTATACAAAAAAGAATAAATAGCAGTTAAATTCACTCATTGGTATTCACTCACACTTTTTTTGTTTCCTGAACCACTCACACTTAAATTTATACAAGGCTTCACAAATAAGGAAATACCTGTATGGACTCCCGCAACTCAGCATTAGCTTCTAGCACAGGCGCTGCTTTGAATCCTCTGGAACCCTTTCGAGAAGATTCAAGTTCACGTCCCTTACCAGCAGCTGCTCTTTGCCTGATACCAAGAGGGACACAGATATGTAGTGTAAATAAGGTGTAAAATGGTCAACTTCCTTTGGCAGAGGAGTTCAAGGTGTTCCAAACAAGATATCCCCTTTTTTCTTGTTCTTTTTTTTTTCCAGTAATAAGAGTTCTTCCTTGTTCAGGATAAGATATTTCAAACATTCCTATGAGTACATTTTCAGAAGCATGAATGACACTAATCTCCATGCAACCTTAACTGTGTTTTAACATAGGATGCAAATGCAAATCCATAACAGTTTTGCCTGTTTCTTTTGAACTCAAGAGAGAGAGAGAGTTAATATTTTAATAGTGGGAACAACGTACCTTCTTGCATCCTCATCTCGGAGTTTGGCATCAAGCTCTTTGCTAGGTGGATACTCGGGCAAACTTGACGGATCACAGGGAAGAGGCTTCGCTGTGAAAAACTGAAGAAGAAACTCAACATTAAAAATGGTAATTACCCAAAAATCAGCAAATCAACTCGCGGAAATGATCAGTAAGAATACCCCAAAAGAAAATACTTAAAACAATTATTTTAATTTTTTTATTTTTATTTTGGAGGAATAAAAGCATTATATCCTACCAGAATTGTAATGGTAGAACTTTTGGGTGGGAACCCAAAGTTTTTCCAACAATCACCATTCCACATAACCCCCACGTAACATAAAGAGATACGCAACAGATGGTCAGCTCTAAAAGTTTATTGTTAGCTGATTCTAGTGTGCAGACAGACCTTAGATGAGAAGTGGAAAGGTACAATGTCAACCTAAGAAATATGGAAACGGATATGGGACACGGATACGATACGACAAATTCTAAAAGATTAAGACACGGACACGGCGGGAACACGACAAATAACAAATGTATTTATATATGTGTGTGACTGTACTTTTAAAAATTAATAGTGTTTCTTTTTATCAACCTAATAATAAAAATAAATAAATAAATAATATTAATAAAATGTGTTTTGCTTGGAAAAAGAAAGAATGATAGAAAGAGGATTAATTAAGAAAGAGAAAAAGAAACAAAGAAACAAAGAGGATCAGGATTTGGTTAGAAAAAGAATTAGAGCTTAGTTAAAAATAAAGGCAAGAATCCATAGAAGAGAAAAATTTCACAAAAACAAGAGGAAAAAGGAAAAAGAGACGCACAAATAATTTTGTTGTGAAAGGAAAAAAAAGGATTTAGGGTATATGAAGAAGAAGAAGAAGAAGAAGATGAGAGAAAAGATGAGAAATTGACACCATCCGCCAGCAGCGAAGCTTGGTCGGTGGGACAATAAGAGAGTCAAAGATGATCATGCAAGATTTTGAACCTTTGAAACTAAAATATAGCATAAATATCTTATTATTTTAATATAAAATTGTTATACAAAACAACTTTTAAGTAATTATATGTAGTGTCGGGATGCGTCCAGCACGTGTCGGTGTCCGATACGGATTCTTTGTCCTTTTAAGTATTTCCGTGCTTCCTACATGTCAACTTACCAAAACTATACCAAAAAAGTCTTCAAGGCAAGGAAGGCATTCCCAACTACCAAGAGTAAGTTTTCATTTAAGAGATTGTAGATGATGAGTATAAAGGCTCCAAGTTCATGGTTCTGGGGCAAAGCATAAGCCAAAAATAGAATGTGAACTAACAAAAAGGACCACAATTTTTTTTTTTTTTTTTGATAAACTACAAAAAGGACCACAATTTGAAAACTGTAAACACCAAGTGGAAAGTTGTTAGCCCCTTGACGAAGTATACAGCAAATTAACATAGCAATGAAAAGCTCAGCTTTACCTCGCTTTGAATCGCAGAAGAAGCTGATCCCCGGCCCTCGGGTTCAAATGCAAGGAGGACGTCCAAAAGGGTTAATGCCGAAGAAGGAAATTCCTTGAATGTCTCAGCAACGCAACGCAACGCAACGCTTGTAAGGGTGCTGAGGTTTAAAGATAGTCACATGGGACAATTTCGACTTTTCCCAGTACTCTTCAGTTGGAGAGAACCACAAAGTTTGAAAATTTTATGCAGTTGTTCCACCTATAAATGATAATTATGAGGAGATCAATAACCAATCAAATTCAGGTTATTTAAAGCCCACACAGGCACAAATATGGTGCTTTTACTAATTACATCACTTGCCATTAAATAATGGACACATCTTGAAAAGTAGAAAAATTACACTGTACTATAATGATGTGCTCAGCTCACCCCTGACATAAACATGGTTAAATCAATCCAATTTCAAATTCCTAATTTACAGCATTAATTGACTTTAAACATGAAATCGACCTGAGTTGTATCTACATTACCCTTCATATAGATTTTTTACTTTTTGGCCTTTTCCCTCAGACTTATAGTTTACTATTCGACCCACTTTGTTTTACTTGATTTAGTAAAAATTAAAGAGTTGAAGGTTCAAAGCAGATAGATCTTTTTTCATATTACCCACATAGATGAAGTGGTGCTTGCCACTGTTTGCAAATCTGTCATCGTAGAACACTTTCCTCTGGAGGAACTACACAACATATCAACCCCAAGAAACTAGAGACATTGTTGTGGGTTCAGTGGATTCATACTTATCTATTAAAGGGAAGAAGCATTTAGGAAGTGAAGGTACCTGGTCAATTCTCCTGGAGTTGGAGGAAGATTCTTTCTCTTAGAGGATCAATCAATCCCCTTGTCAAACTTGAAATTGGCAATGGAAGATCAACCAATTTTTGGTTTGGCAACTGGTGCCATCTTGGTCTACTTGTCCAGCTTGTTTCACCACAACAGCTCTCTGCAACAACTTATGACAACAAAACAAAAGTGTGTTCCTTCATTGACAACAACACATGGAACTTCCCAAACTCCATCACAGCCATCCTACCCCAACTACAATGCTCCTCATCCCTCCTAAACCCAAACTCTCACAGAGAAGACAAATTCATTTGGAAACCTTCTCCCTCAGGATTATTCTCCATTGCCTCGACAATGAAACAATTTAATAACCACTTGCCAACCCTCTGCGATAATCGATGCAAAGTCTTAAAGATCCATCCTTCTTCTTCGCAAAAAGAACCGATACTCCCCGGGGTGAAGCACTAGGACGAATAAAGCCCTTAGTTTTCAAATCATCCAATTGAGCTTTCAGCTCATCTAACTCTGCCGGTGCCATGCGGTACGGTGCCATAGAGATCGGCGCAATACTGGGAATAACGTCGATGGCAAAGACAACTTCTCGAAGAGGAGGAAGCTCAGTCAACTCCTCCGGAAAGACATCCAGAAACTCGTCTACAACTGCCGAAAAAACACGGCCCAAACCGCTACCCTCGTCAGCTAACAGGCTAGCTAAGAAGGACCTGTGGTGACTCTAGTCACTGATGCTAAAAATCATCGTCGAGTGGGAATCGCTTCGATCTCCCACGAAGTGAAAACAATCTCCCGTGAGAGTGTAGATAGACACTTGCCCGCAGAAGCAATCAATCGTGGCACGAAAGAAAGACAACCAGTCCATCCCGAGGATGACGTCAAAGCCCGTCATGTCAAAAATGACGAAATCGAACTCTAAAGTCCACCCAGCTATCTCGATAGCACAACCCTGACAAACACAGTCCAAAGACACTGGACCACCAACTGGTGTGTCAACACAAAGGAAACCATCCCGCTGTGTGACTTCCAAACCCAAGGAATGTGCAAATGATGTAGATATGAATGAATGCGATGCACCCATGTTAACAAGAACTCTAGCCCAAGAACTGAAAACTGGAAAAATACCTCGAACCGTAGAAGTCCCTACGGAGGTATCGGCCTGTGGCAATGCGTAAGCTCATCCCTAAGCTCCTGACTGCTAAGAACTGCCCTGGTGGCCCGACTGATGTCCGGAAGCAATAGGCATAGAACCTTTACCCAAATAAGAACTGTGATAGCCCAAGTTTTTAAACTCGGTGCGTCAGTGATGAACCGAAAGATGACCCAATGACGGATCCGAAATGTGGAAGCAAAAGACAAACAACGGTCTCTAGAGATACAACATGGCTCTAAGACGCCATTATGACCCTCAACGAGGTTACGGAACCCAAAAGAATCAAATGCGGAAGCAATGTTTTCAAAAACGAACAACAATGAACCTAGGGGCAAAAATGTCATTTTTAGCTTAAAAGTGGGTGCCACCGAGCACACCATTGGAAAGACAACAAAAAATTAACGAATTTAGACTCAAGAATCATTTGATTCGGAGTCCGGATGAAGAAGATATGGCAAACGAAAGAAGAATGGGCAAAATGGTCAAAAAGTTAACCCAAGACCATCTAATCGATTAAGAGATCCCTTCTAATCGATTAGAAGACCAAAAATCAGTGACCAACTCACTGCCCACGCTCATCTAAACGGTTACGAGATTCATTACCCGTACACTTGACCCGTACACTTGCACTACAACTCAGCAAAAACCTGGCAGTAGGGGTTTTTCGGGAAAAAAAATGAGATTTTGAGGCCCTAGATGACATTTTCTGGAAAAACACAAAGAAGAAACCACCCTCAAAATTGAGTTTTCTACGTGATTCTCGAGAAAAATTGAAAAATACTTGCAGTGAAATGCCCAAAATGCCCTCCCAAGAAAACTGGTCCAGAGGGTCCAAAAAGCTGCTAAATGGAAAAACAGAAGCTGAACTTTGCGATCGATTTCCGATACCAAGATGGCATTTTCTGAAAAAACACGAAGAAGAAACCCCCCCTAAAATCACATTTTCTAAGTGACTATGTGGAGAACATAATTTATTTCCCAAACAAAATTCCCAAAATACCCTTAGGTTAGATTATGCAACAAAAGTGTAAAATGAGTCCGTAGGAAGCTCATTTCACAAAAGAAGAAGCTTTGCCCAGAAACGACCATGCATGCAAACGTAACTTACCTAATAAGATGTGCTACAATGGTCCATGGCTTAAAAATATGGCCAATACAAAATATGACCCCTCAACGACCAAAATGCCAAAAACGAAGTTTGGAATGAAAACTTGGAATTTAAAATCTTGAAATGACTTCAAAATACCGTTTGACCTTTGGCCACACCTCATACATATTAAATGAATTCTAGATAACGAATTTCATACACAATACACGCTCCGGTGCAAAATAGCATATTAAAATGCATGATTTTCATATAATCTCATGAAGGGCAAAAATTTAACATCCATGATACAAATGTAATTCCAAAAGAAGTTTGGCCCTTTGCCTCATGTCATATACATAAAATGAGAATCAAAAGTGTGCTTAGGCACATTACAAGTTTAGAATCAAATATACACATTTGACAAATAAGACTACAATTGGCATTCCGAGTCAACCTTCACAAAAATGAAAGTCTTCAAGTCCACAAGTCATCCAAGCATAATAGGAGTCTCAACTTTAATTATTGTACCTGAAATATGCCCCAGTATCGTAGAGGTGAGTAATATAAAGCTACTCGTAGGAAATGAGCATGCATCGACCTACGTTTTACAAGTTTGCATGATTTAATTATTGTGGTTCATTACACCTAACGTCTATGTCAAAGGTGAAACTCAAGGAGCATCCTAGCTACCTAAGATCATTTCTAGCATCAATCACCTCATTCATGCAATTTTAGCAACATAGGGTCATGCTTACACAAAGCAACAACATAGGAGCATGCTTACACAAAGCAACAACATATAAATTCTCAAGGTTATCAACTTGAAGTCTAAATGTAACATCAACTAAATATAACAATTTAGCATAATTAGAATATCTAATACCACACATCAAGACATAGATTCTCTAGGTTATCAACTAGAAATCTAAAAGTGTAAAATCAACTAAATATAGCAATTTAGTATGGATGTACTTAACAACATCAAAATCGCCAATAGCCAAAACCACAAGTCAACAAGGTAAACATGATTGTCAACTTGGAATTGAATGCGAAAACAAATAATGGAAGACTTGGACATCACGTCTTGGATTTCCGTCGAGAACAAAATGGTTGTTCCGGGTACTAACCCGCAAGGAAAACCACCCTAGGTCCGCACTATCTCAATTGGGGAGAACTCATACCTCCCGCACTAAAGCCAAACTTTAGCCATATCACATGTAACAACAATGTCCCAAGACTCCAAAATAAACCAAATAAGTTCATAACTTATACATATTACTACTACATAGTAACAAGTTAGCAATATAACTCTCAATTGTGCATAATAAGCATTTGATATCCATAATGTTATAAAATCACAAGCCAACAATATATTCATATTAGAAACATACTCTCATGAATATAAATTTAACAACAATGCTCTTCAATGCATATAACACAATCAAGTGAATACATCACAAGTCTAAATCCATGCTCTTAAAATAGAAATAACTTTTAAAACATGATTAGATCCATGGATAAACAAGATAGAATTTAATTACATCAAAATAATTAAACTCTCTAGATTTCAAATCATTTCCAAATAGTCTCAATTTAATATATGATAAAAGACATATCATGGTCATTACATATATTCACACAAAAGCTTAATTAGGCCCATGAAACGACAAAGTAGATTTTAATTAATTCTCTTAATTAAAGTCTCTAGATTTCCAAACTCAACCAAATACTTTCAAATTAAAGTATGTTAACAAACATGCCAAAACTTAATTTAGAAGTATAATACAACTCAAGAACATGCAAGGTATGGTCATGAACTTTAATCTTTCACAAAAGATAAATATTAATTAAAAAGTGCAATTCTTATTTAATTAATCCAAATTTAATATATGTTAACCAACACATTAAAACAAGATTTTCTAGCATGCCACAATTCAAATCCAAGTTACACATCATGAATTGTAAATCTTATACAAAGAAATAAAAATTTCTAACTTTCTAGATTTGATACAAGGCATACATATATATTATATAATCATGGAAAACACACAATACAACACACAAATAATCCTAAAACATTCCCTACCTCCATTTGAGATGAAATCTCAAATCCCTACCAAAATAAATCGGCTCCGAATCCGACGAAACTCATAGGTTTTGTCGGGGACAACACCACGAACATGAATCCCAAGGAAGCCCCATCAAAAACACAACTTGACTTCAAACCCGAACTCAAGAAATGGCCAAAACGAGATTCCAATCGGTTGGAATCAAAGGCCTCGCCGAGAGGAACAATAAATATAAAGGCATCACCACTTTTTAATGAAGGGAAGAAGTCCAAAAGATGATAGAGAAGGTGGCAGCCATGGGAGGAGCTTGGACCAGCCATGAGAGAGGAGAGAGAGAGAAAAATCTGATTTTTCATCCACTAATCCCCTATTTATAGAAAAACCCAAAAAGCACCCCAAACGGGCCCCGTCGAATCCGAAAAAGTGAAATTCTAGCAGACGTGCTCAAACGGTAAAACTCCATGAACGAAAAAGATTTCAAATGAGAAAATATGAATAACGGAAGAAACGGTATCGAAAACTGAGTTCCGAGCAGAGAGTTATGCCCAAAACAAGTTTGGCGCAAACCGGGGCCAAAAATCATGAAACTGGAAAACATAGTCCAGGAGGAAATTCTAAGAGTCCATAACTCGACGAAATGTGAAAATGAATCCCGTATGAGGATCCAGGCTCAAAACAAGGCATTGAGCAATAACTTTCATTAATTGCACAATAGCCCCTCCAAAAAGTGAAAACTGCGAAACTGCCCCAGAATAAAAATATCTTCCAAAAGATATTTTCTTAGATAACCCTGAAATAAAATATCTTCAAAAGATATTTATGAAAAACACCCCAAGAAAAGAAAAAGTTTCCAAAGAACTTTGCATTTATGCCCCTATGGGCACCGAGAGCAACCAGAGTACTTTCTCACGAAAGTAAAGATACGTATCTCATAGAGATCATTGAGAATGAAGATACGTGAAGTCAAAAACCAACTCCGAACACAAGAAGTGTGGTTACGCAAACAGAGTGACAAACGAGGAA